ATCCGTTTCCTGTTGCTGCAGCTAAGTAAAGAAAACAGGGTCACCGGTTGCAAGGCTACTCCTGCTGTTCTGTCCAGATTTGAGGGTAGCTATTGCATCCTAAAATAAGCTTTGGAAGGGCTTCATCATGCAACATTTTTTTTAATAATAAAAAGATTTCCCATATTTTAATGGTTGAAGAGGCACTTAGATTCTTGTGTAGGATCACTCAGTAGCATTTAATATGAACTAAAGTAATTTCAGGTTTTTAGGTATTATATTTAATGAAATTAGATACTACTACTTGTATGGAGCCCTGTTAACAGTTGATTAAAGAACAAATTGGCAGTTGACCTTATTCAGTACCAGTAATATAAACCTGAGTGCAATCCACATGATAGTATGAAGCATGAGTTATACTTCCAGGAAATACCAAGTTGCAACTTGAATTTTGGAAGATTTATCCTGCTAAAGTTCTGCCATTTACTTTGTGTGGTAGAATAGTAACAATAAATGCATAGCAAAAACTACATCTTTCATATAGTGACCAGTGGGAACTGTCACTGCTGAATATGATCTAAGTTAGACATAGACACACCATTTTCAATGCTATTCTCCATCTAAAATAAGATCTAAATCATCTGCAGTAAAACATTTAGACCTGTAGCAAATCCTGTACACTTCTCAGAATATAAGGGCATAAAAGTGCTCTGACTTATAGGGCAAATAAAGAAGTGGACTTTAGAATAGACAAAAGCCCAGAAACAATACAGAAAAAATTCAATGACCACCCCTCCAAAAGGTTACTCAGCAGTAAAATGGAAAAAAATCTTCTGAAGAAGAACAATTCTATGGGCTTGTAGAAAAGCACTGAACTAGTGCACGCTGGAGCTGGAAACTAGAGGGTGAAAAGCAATGAGAGAAACTTAGGATACCACCCTTCCTCCCCTGCAGTAACTGACCCTCTTCACCAGCCCATTATACATCAGTGCTATTGAAAGGTCTGTAACAGGAGGAGAATATTTCATGTACATAAGGTTTTCAAAAGCAAACTGTAGCTGATGAAAAAACATTTTTTCAGGGCATTTGCAGGGCTGCATAAATGCAATGGCAACTACTCAGATATTGCATCTATACTCGGCTGTTGAGAAAAGTTTATTTAGCAAAGCCATTAAAGCCTGATTAAAATTTGATGGAATGATAGGATAAATGTGGTAAGTCCACTGAGGTCTGAATTGCTGCCAGTATTGATTAACACCCTTACCACCCCAGTGGGAATCCTATCAAAAGCATATTTCAAATCTAAGCCATGGGAATCAGAATAAAGCCCTGGATAACAACTGCCACATCATTCAGATGAGTGTTTTATGTCCCTATATGACAGGCGAATGAAATGAGATAATGGAGAGTTGCCAAAGGATTGGTTTGACTCACAGTTGTATGTGGGGATTTACAAATGCTGAAAATATGAGGCCAGATTCATACCTGGTATAATTTCATCAACTTAGTTGAATTTTCCAAGGGTTAAATATGGCCCATAGTCTCTGTCCTGATGAGCTTAAATCAGACAAATATTTTGATATATTGGGAGATAACAGTTTATAGATTGTAAGGGAATACAACCGGCATGGAAACTGATGCAGAAGTGATTACAGAGAGACTTGAGAGAGAGAAGACTGTTTTGCTGACAGGAAAAATGTAGCTGTTCCAACTGCAAGGCTGGCAATGAAATGATATAAAACGAAGCGTGAGAAGGAACAGAGGAGAACAGATGCCAAAGAGGATTCAGAGAAATATACAGAGAGAGAAGTAGGACAGAATAAAATTGCAACTGGTATGTTAGCAAGTCTGTCATTTCTTTAAAGGTGGAGATAAGAAGCTTGAACTTTTTGTGTCAAAGCAGAAGCCCAAAGAAATTTGAAAGAAGGAGGGAGAGAATGGCAAAAGCATGAGATTGTTTTTAACTCAGGCATTTCTGCTATACTGGTAAGGCAAATACTGAGATTTGGAAAGAGCAGAAAAAGGTTATGTTTTATGAAAAATCAGTCAAGCATGGTCTAGATCTGAAAGAGCGCAAATTAAAAAAGGAAGGAATGAATGCTTGTGATCCAAGGGGACAAAAGGTTAAGGGAGGTGTTGCAGATGACTCTGAGGTTTGTTGAAAGAATGGAGCTGTTAATGATGATAAGGAGGAGGTAAAATCTAGAGGTTTGGAGGCTTGGTTTTGTTTGGCGCTTTGTTGCAGGGACAGGGAGGCTTGGTTGGGTGTTTTGCAAAAGTAAGTCATAGGTGCTTTGTTCCAAATCCTAACTCTACAAAAAACTAAAAATGTTATCCATACAGGGTAAGTGTGAAGAGTATTAACTGTTTGCAACCAGCTTAATAAATTTTGAGTCCATTGAACACTTAGAATTATTAAATAAAAAGCAAAATCCAAATCCCACATGGCTTCATTGCATAAAATACTGGATAGACTTCACATCCTTCCTTTACTGCAAGAGGCTTAAAGTATTTAAGAATATTGTCTTTTGTCTCTCTTTGGTTAATTGCTAGATAGAAAGTTTTTATTTAAAATATCTGTCACTGGCATGTTTTGGACTCTGAGAGGTTTCCCTTATTCTTGTGGCAGGGGCCTGTAACAGGGGATGGCCTGTAAAATGTCTGCTTATCACACTTGTGTCTTGACCCTCAGCTGAGTGTCGTCTGCAGAACTAACTGCTTACAGGTAGTTTTGATGGAGACAACAAAGGAAGGGGGTTGCTTATAGGTATGACATCATTGCTTGGGGTGATCTGTCTCCCCTTTTGCACTGGGCATTTAGAGACAAAAAGGCTCCAGAGTACTGACACAAGAGGACCAGTGAGGAACGTTCAAGGGGGGAAGTTGCTGTGAATCAGTTATAAATAGCTGGTTTCAAAGAAGTGTCATTAAATGCGCTCTGTTTAGAGAGGTCTGTAAGATGGTTGTGGCGTTTGGTCACTGATGGAAGCACGGCTCCTTAAATGTAAGTGTTGCTGGGAAGTATGATAAGGCTGTGAGGTGTTCTAGCTGACAAGGTGTGTTAGAATCTGAATATTTGCATTCTGATATGTTGGCTTAGACTAGCAGCTTGGAAACCTAACCATGTAGCAATCATACAGATCTTCGTTTTACCATTTTCTTTCTGGTTTTTGTCTTGTGTTTATAACCTGACATAGCAGTACTGGTCAGTAACTGGTGAATGTTGCCTGTGATGCAGGTTTTCATATACTGCTGCACTTGGGCTCGTCTTCCATTTGATTTTTGAAAGGAATTGAAAGAGTTTCAAGACACTGTGCGAGTTCTACAAATTGCAGAATCCACATTGTCTCTGCCTTTTCTGTTTGCTGAGTTTGTCTGTCTTTCTGTTTGTACCCAACAGAGTTTAATTGAATAATAGTGACTTTAGGAACTAGTTTCTCCAGCTTCTTTACAGGCAAACAACTTTTCAATGTAGCAGCCTGTTATGCACACTAAATGACTTATCATTTAAGAATGTATAATCTCTTGATTTAAGTAGAGGTATAATATATATTAGAGGCAGGTCTTGGTCTAAGGTTGCTTCATCTCAGAAGATTAATAACATGAGAAGCAAGTAACACCAAACTTCTCCATGTCTGGGGTTTTGTGGTTTGTTTGGGGTTTTTTGGTAACCTTAATTACATCTAATTCCCTATTTCTTTAAATGTTTATGTCCTGACTAGCTAGATATAGGCCCCAAATCATTGAATCATGATGGAAATGCTGAAATATTTTGCTAATCAGAGATAAAGTTAAGCATATCTGTACAGTTCAGCCTGTTGCTTTGCTGAATCTAGTGAACTTACTGAACTTACTGTAAATTTCTCCCCTACAAAATTCATCTTGCTTAAATGTATGAACTAAGCAATAGAAATGTCCTGAATGCTGATCAGAACACTGCTACTTGTCTGTAGTCCAATGCTGAAGGTGTTGAAAGAGAAGATGGAAAGTTAACTTGCTTGTAAGGAAGAGTTGTTTGGTTTGTTTGGCTGTTCCTGCTAACATAAAAGCCCGGATCACTGAATAATCCGTGAGAAGCTAAATGTCCACCAGCTGAGGTCACAAAAATGCTGCCATAAACAGTCTGCTGTAAATGGTAGGTAGGGCAGACTTAAACCAGGCAAAGAGCCCATAATCAGATTTCTGTAGAGGTACTCACTTGGTCCCCACTGCCATGTAATTCAGGAGCCTTCTGATATAGGAGGTACAGAAGTGTTAACGTTAATGTTGCAGATGGGAAACTGAGGCCCACTAAGATTTAGGGGATGGACAAGTGTGATTAACAATATAACTCTTATTTAAAGATGTTAAACTCCAATAGATTTCAGCAGGAATTAAGCAGCTTAATGCATTCATGAGTGTGAGCTTAACAGGCTTAGTCAGCCAGGAAGACTTTGGAAAAGCTACATGACCCCTGGATTTTAGCCCAAATCTCCTTTTTAATCTAGTGTTCAGAGATTATATGGTGTTAGGTGCAGAACAGACATGGGGTAAAGCCCCAAACTTTTTTCAGATTTATTGGGGTTTTTTTATTTTATACAAATGCCCCCAGAAAAAGCAAAAAGAGCAGTATCTCATGCAGACAGTCAAGACTGAGGCAATAAAAGTGGAGGGGGTGTGGGGGGGTGTGTTTCCTGAGGCCATGGAGTAAGAGATGAAGAGAGGATTTTTCTGTGTGTTGTCATTTTTGTATTAAAAAAATAGTGTTTGGGGAAAGTGTTCTTAATAACTGACGATAAAACACATTAAAAGCTGTCAGCAGAAAGATTGTGGAGTATGTGAAAATATGGAAGGAAAGGGGGATAAACTGCACAATGAGACATGGGATAGTTTGCACTGCTGACCAGGCTAAATACTTGAAAAAAGCTTGCAGTGGGCAAGTTGGCTGGATGGGAATTTTAAATATGAGCTGTAGTTAATATCACTAGTATGAAATTAATGAAAAGTAGCTGTGTTCTTTGAACTTGCATCTTTACTTGCAGAAGCATGATGGCCACTTCACAGTCATCCAGTTGGTTGGCATGCTGCGGGGGATTGCATCTGGTATGAAGTACCTCTCAGACATGGGCTACGTACACCGTGATCTGGCAGCCCGTAATATCTTGGTCAACAGTAACCTCATGTGTAAAGTCTCTGATTTTGGTTTGTCACGAGTGTTAGAGGATGATCCTGAAGCCGCTTACACAACAAGCGTAAGTTTGTCTTAATCTAATTTGAACAGCTGATTGCCTTGTGCCTCTTTTATTCCAGTTTCAGATCTGTCTATGCCATAGGAATAGTAGTTTGAATTGGCTTTGTTCCATTCTCAGTCTATGTGGTTTAATTGCACTGCCAATGTGTTTAAGGGAAGTGGTTTTGATTTTTGGCTAAGGGATGCATAATAAACTTTGGCAAATATTTTTTTTAAGCAAATGTGCAAGTATAAGTAGGAGAGGTTTTCCATTCTTGTCTGAGTTTTGTGTTTGTTTTTTGTTGGTTTCTTCCCCCCCC